CTTGAGAGACGAAGATTCCATCTTTGTCTTGCTTGACCTGTAGTCCCAGAAAGTAACTGAGTTCTCCAAACATACTCATCTCAAACTCAGCAGTCATTGTCTGAACAAACCAGTCGACCTTTGACTGTGATGTAGACCCAAACACGATATCATCCACATAGATTTGTACGACTAATAGTACATCATCCGAATTATGGATAAACAACGTTTTGTCTACTCCCCCTCTTTTGTAGCCGTTCTCGAGTAGAAAGCTGGCTAACCGTTCATACCATGCCCGAGGGGCTTGTTTTAACCCGTAGAGAGCTTTCTTTAATCTGTACACGTGAGTGGGAAAATGTGGATCCTCAAAACCAGCAGGTTGTTCGACGTACACTTCTTCTTGGATCACACCATTGAGAAATGCACTCTTGACATCCATCTGAAACAACTTAAAACCAAGAAAACACGCAATGCCAAGCAGCAATCTAATAGACTCTAGTCGAGCAACGGGTGCAAAAGTTTCATCGAAGTCAATACCTTCAACTTGTGTGTATCCTTGGGCAACTAACCTGGCTTTATTGCGAACTACTTCTCCCGACTCATTCGTTTTGTTTTTGAAAATCCATTTCGTTCCAATCACATTAATGTGATCTGGTCGGGGAACAAGATACCACACATCATTCCTCACAAATTGCTCCAGCTCATCATGCATTGCCTTTACCCAGAATTCGTCCTTCAGTGCTTCATCCACTCGGGAAGGTTCCTTCTGCGACGAAAAACACACAAAACGTACCATATCGTGGTAATTTATCCTCTTACCTCGTGTACGCATGGGATCGAGTACATTTCCTATCACATCATCTTCGGAATGGTTCCTGTGAACTGTAGGTGTAGGATCAATTTCCAGATCTTCTTCCTTGTTCTCAGCTTCTGCATTGTCACTCCGTTCTTCTACCGAGTGCTCACTGGGAACATCGTGAAGTAGTTTCGGCGGAACTTCACTCGGATCTGCACTGTGTTCCTCATCAAAGACAACATTAGCTGATTCCATAATCGTTCTAGTGCGCAAATTGTATACTCGATAGGCAGCAGAATTCATTGCGTAACCCAAAAACATACCTTCATCACTTTTGGCATCGAACTTCCCTCTGTATTCTCGATCATTCAACACAAAACATCGACAACCAAATATATGAATAAACTTCAGAGGAGGTGTCTTACCTTTCCATATTTCATATGGAGTTTTGGCCGTCCCTGGTCTGATATGGATGCGGTTGACCAGGTAGCATGCCGTACTTACCGCTTCTGCCCAGAAACGTTTCGCAACATTTCTTGCATGTAACATTGTTCTCGCCATTTCTTGCAGTGTCCTATTCTTCCTTTCAACCACTCCATTTTGTTGTGGAGTTTTAGGTGCAGAATATTCGTGGACAATCCCATATTTGTTGCAAAATTCTGCAAACTGTTCATTTTCAAATTCACGCCCATGATCACTCCGAATTCTCTGAACACTTCCTTTTCCATTTCGGAGTTGCAGCCATAAGTGTTCGAATACACCCAATGTTTCTGACTTCTCTCTTAAGAACCTGACCCAAGTAAAACGTGAGAAATCGTCAACATATACAAACACATACCTCTTTCCTCCAAGACTCTCCGTCTGCATTGGTCCCATCAAATCCATGTGCATCAGCTCGAGAATCTCAGATGTGTGTATCTCATCGATCATTTTATGATTGACCTTGATTTGCTTTCCAAGTTGACATGCTTTACACATCAGTGTTACTTGCGAGGATAACTCAGGTAATCCTCGTACAGCATTTGACTTTGACAGTTTTATCAACGACCTTGTGTTAATGTGTCCCAATCGTTGATGCCATAACTCGAGTTCAGAGTCAGCTGCTGTGAAGCACTTCTCACTTTGATTGCTTTCGTCAGGATTTACCCAAGTATAGCAATTACTTGGAGTTCTTTTTCCTGTCAACACACAATTTCCAAGAAAATTCGTAACAACACAATCATCTTTAGTGAATTTTACCTGAAATCCAGAGTCACACAGTTGACTGATGCTTATGAGGTTTGCCTTGAGTCCTTGAACAACATTGACATCAAGTAATTGCTATACTTGGGTAAATCCTGACGAAAGCAATCAAAGTGAGAAGTGCTTCACAGCAGCTGACTCTGAACTCGAGTTATGGCATCAACGATTGGGACACATTAACACAAGGTCGTTGATAAAACTGTCAAAGTCAAATGCTGTACGAGGATTACCTGAGTTATCCTCGCAAGTAACACTGATGTGTAAAGACATTTTTTCTTCTCCATACTTGCCTCCATCTCAGGGTGGGTGGTACCTGATAATTTTGCCAGTAGTAGCAATTCATTCTGATGTGACCTCTTGTTCCACAGTAGAAACAAGTGCGATGCTCACGATAGTTTTGTGGTCTTTGTCTTGGATATAGATCAATCTTGATCTTTGGAGTCTGTTGTACTTGTGAGATCACTTCATCTCCAAGTTTTCCTCCTGAAACAAAGTTTCCTACTTTGTTTTTACT